CAGGCTCGCGGGCCCAAGAAGCACCTGAAGCGCGTCGCGGCGCCCAAGCACTGGATGCTGGACAAGCTGACCGGAGTGTTCGTAAGTGCCCCGGGGAGCCCCGGCCGCGCGGGGACCGTTCTCCGGGCTGCTCGCCCTTGGGGCGCGGGGCGGGGGCGGGAGCGGTGCTCGCAAGGGAGGGAAGCCCGTTGCCTCTGTGGCCTGCGTTCGCACAGCGACTCGGTGCCGTGTCACAGGAGAACTCAGCGTTTGCATCCACTAACCTCACAAATCTAAACTAAGTGCAGCCTGGGTCTTCTCGCCCTCTGCAAGGCTGCTGGGTTTCATTCCTGTCTGAAAACTGCACGTCCGACTGGTTTGGAAGAGACTGGCCTGGCTCATTTCCCTGCTAGCTTGTGGTTTGCCCCAAGCGTAGATTAAGTTGCATATTTAGCCCTAATTAAACCAAATTGCGTGCATTTACTTTGGAAGCTTGAGTGTTGTGATGTGAAAAGTGGGATGATTAGGGTGTATAGGTACAGAACTGAATACACAGTGTAACATGTCAAACCTGTATCAAATTCAATTCCAAACATCTTTACACTTTCGACTCCTATTCCTCCCCTTCCGCCAACAGCCTGAGAAAATAGATGGGTCATGCTTTCTGCCCGAGAGGCTAGTGAGATGACATTGGAGTCGAGTCTGCTCATTGAGAACTCCGTGCCCCTAGTCACCAATAGTTTACACCCAGGCACTGCTGTTGAGTGTGCTTCTACTGTTGCTGTCTCTGGCATATAAGGAGCAAGGTTGTCTGTGAGCCAATGGGATCCAGACTGCGTGACATTGTGAAGAAGTCATAAGTCTAACCCAGTATTTATTGAGCACTTGCTGTTTCTCTTTTGGAAGATCAGTGTTACTATTTGCTGATGTGATAGCACAGTTGGCATAGACTGAATTTTTCTTCTGTTTGTAGGCTCCTCGTCCATCTACAGGCCCCCACAAACTGAGGGAATGCCTTCCACTCATCATCTTCCTTAGGAACAGGCTCAAGTATGCCCTGACAGGAGATGAAGTCAAGAAGATCTGCATGCAGCGGTTCATCAAGATTGACGGCAAAGTCCGCACTGACATCACCTATCCTGCTGGCTTCATGGGTGAGTGGAGACAACTCTTGGGAGATGTGGGGGGGAGGGGGAAAATGCTTCTTTTAAGGAGCTGTTGCATGGCCAAGAATGAGCCTTCCGTCCCCGTGCCCTAAAAGCCAGTGCTTGGTCTTGGTAGTTGTGCAGCTGGGTGCTGTGCAGTGTGGGTTGTGTTGCTTAATGTTTTAAGTGCGTGTGTAACCAGAGGCCACAGTTGGCCAAACGCGGCATTCGGTGCATCATTGACATGCTTGCTCCAGATGTTGAAGGTAGTTTCTGGGACCCTCAACTGATTAAATTGAAGAGCATCTTGCTGAGTCTTCAGAACTGTTGGCTTGTGTTCCTAGTTGAACAAATTGTATAAAACTACCCTTCTCTGAGCATCCTTGGGCTGAAACACTGATTTGTGCGTAGAACCCTTATCCCGGGAACGTTTGCTGTAGCTACTTGGCAGTTTGATCAAACAGAAAATAAAGGAAGTCCACTTAAAGCTCCATGCTGAGCTGCTCTGCATGCTTCTGCTCCTCTTCCCCACCCTTCCCCCACAGCTGGGGTAATGGCAGTGCGCAGAGCTGCTCCTCCCATAGCAGGGGAGTGAGGAGGGGGGTTGTGCCAGGGAGCACAGACCCACAGTGCCCTCCCTGGCCTGCCTCATGATTGTTTTTTAAACCAGATGTCATCAGCATCGAGAAGACTGGTGAGCACTTCCGTTTGGTATATGATACCAAGGGTCGTTTTGCTGTTCACCGCATCACAGCTGAAGAGGCCAAGGTGAGTCTGCTCTGGCAGGGCTTGGTGATGTTTCATTAGCTTTTGAACCTGGTGCCTGTGTTTTGCTGCAGATATCAAACTGCCAAGTGTGTGAGTCTAAGTTGGTGTCAGCCCTACTGCCTTGAGAGTTACGCTGTGTCTACACTGGAAAGGTTTGGTGATCAGTGTCGCAAAGGTCAACAAAAGTGAAAACTGGTCAGACCAGTTTTTCCGCCTCTCATTGTCGACTTTTCATGGCCACATTGCTAGCGCCCTGTCCACAGAGCAAAACATCCACAGTGCAGTGTTGAGGGAAGGCAGAGCTGCTCTGTAAGCTCTCCAGCTGAGGGATGTCAAAGCAGCAAAGCCGTCTCTCCAGCCCTCTTCCAGCAGCAGCCTGCCTGCCGCTGTGTTCCTAGTGCAAGGCAGTACAGAAGCACTCCAGTAGTTTGTTCTTTGGAGCAGCTCACTCAGCAATCCATGCCTGCAGGGCAGCAAAGATCACACAACACTGAGCACAGCTATCAGGGCAGGCATTGTGGGATACTTGTGAAATCTCTTGCAACTGCTGGAAGTTTTGTTGCCAAGACTGGGTGTTTTTCCTGACAAAAGTCTCAGTGTAAACACTCTTACTGTTTTGTCACCAGAAGGCAGTTTTTGGTGACAAAATGTGCCAAGCCCTTAGACTGAATGACCCAGATAATCAGGTGCGGTGTCCCTGGAGTTCAAGGGGTGGAAGTGGAGAGGACTTGCATAGTCTCCGGGCACAGAAGGACGTAGCTAGCTGTCCAGTATGCGGCGGTCTAAAGAGGAGTCTGCTGTGGTGTTACCCTTGCTGTAAACCCTTTTTTTGGAGCCTTTGAATAGGGGATGATGTGCAGCTCTTCATTGGGGTGTCTACAAAGCGCTTGAAGTAACACAACATAAAAATGGTCAAAATACTCAGTTGGCTACAAGATCAGCAGCGCTATTCCTCGGTTAATTGCTTCACTAAAGAGCTATGGGCAAATGTTCACGCCTGAGTTCTTGTGCAGTGCGCTACTCTCCCTGCACCTGTGGTCAACTAGTCCCTTTTCGGCAGCCCCAAACTGCTGCCTTAGGCCAGGGAAAGCCAATATCTGGGCTGCAGGCCAAATCTGGACCACCAGGTGCTTTTAACTCTTTCCTCTAGTCCCAGTGTCACTTGTTCGTTTCTTTTGGTTGCCATTTCGGGTTGCGCTGGTGTCCCTAATGGGACAGTGAAGTCTAGTGTCTTGGTGGTGGTCCGTGAGCAGGAAAGGTCTCCGCTTGACTCCCAGGTCCCGGGGGAGACGTTAAGGCTGGTAGGTTAGGAGAAAACATTTGATTTGTAAACTCAGGAATTTAGATGAGACAGACAACAGACAGCTGGCCACTGTGCTGCCTTTGGTTGTACTTCTGAGCAGACCCAGGCTGAAATCTCCTTGTGGACCTTTTGGAGCACTTGGCTTCTCTAGGCAGTAACATTAGAGTAGCATTAAGAGGTGAAGATGAACTTGTTTTGCTGCAAAGCAGGTGAGGGTGGATATGAACTCAGTGCCTGACTGCTCCGATCTCCAGGCTACGCTGCAGTCTGAGTCTCTCCTGTATGTACACCACAGAGACATGAAGCAGCCATGCAGGGCGCAGAGCTCAAAAAGCCCTTAGACACCCAGAGCTCTGTAGGGTGGGCTACAGCTGGAGACTGACCCCACAGGAAAGGGTTCTGACAACTGCTCTTTGTCATGGGCCACGGTCTTGAGATCAAGAATGGAAGCAAAATCTGGAAATGGGTTTCTCTTCTACTTGCCTGTTAGGTTTGCAGCTCCCTTTGTAAGAGGCTTTCAGCTTGTGTTGGGAAGCTCCGAACGCCGAGCTGAAAAGGCTCAAGTGGCGTTTGGCCTCAGCCGCGTCCTTGTTGCAGAGCCGGGATGTCAGCGAGCGCCTGATGGAGACGGCAGTTCTCTCCTGACTTGCCCAGGGCCGGCAGCAGGACCCTCGTGGTGGGAGTGCTGGGACGGGGGAGTTGCTCTTTTTAACTCCACTCGGGAGTAAATGATTATTTTGAAAGTCTCTGCTCTGAAGTGGAGCTTGGCCTCTGCCCTCGGCACGGGGCTCATGGAGCAGGGCCACAGCTGCAGTGTGGCAGTGACACACTTTAACCTCTTCAGTGTGGTGCCCTGGGGAAATAGGCTGTGCTGGATTTTGGAATTTTCCCGACCATAATGAAGGGTGCTGGGGGCGCGGGGTCTGGGCGGGCATCCAGACCAGCGCTCGGCTGCACTGCCGCTGCCCCCGCTCTCTGGCAGAGCTGATCCCTCCTGTGCCAGAGGCCAAACCATGGGTGTTCCTGGATCCCGGGGGCTGGGATTATGGAGGTTGAAGTGCGCTTCATGCATTGTACCTAGCTCCTGCCCTGTAAGCCACCGTTGTAGCCTGCTTGCATTCATTGCTGTTGGCTTGTGTTCCCAGTACAAGCTGTGCAAGGTGAGGAAGATCTTGGTGGGCACTAAAGGAATCCCTCACCTGGTGACCCACGATGCCCGCACCATCCGCTACCCAGATCCCCTCATCAAGGTGAATGACACGATCCAGATCGACCTTGAGACTGGCAAGATCACAGACTTCATCAAGTTTGACACCGGTACGTTCCTCCAGCCCCTCCCCCACTCGGCTCTCCGAAGCAGAGGACCAGGATTTCCCTGTGAAACTGCCTGGGCAGTTTCCCACTGTGGTGATGAGTGCAATGGCAATATTGGCTTGCTGGGTCCGAGCACAGTGCCCTGCAGCTGTCGGGGATGTGGGTGTGAAAATCGGCACAGAGCTGACGTGTGGGCAGCGGTGCCTGGGGGTGTTGCTTTGCCAGGTGGGTCTAGAATCGGCAGCTCCCTTAGGCCAACTCTTGCCTGTCGCCTGCGAGCATTTGATTCTAGGCATGGGATGGCACAGGAGTGGGGGCGAAGTTTCACTGCCCCTGCCCTGTCGTGCTCGAGAGCCGCTCCCCCAGGATACAGTTGAGGCAGGCTGGTGCTGTTTCAAAGGCGGCACCTCTCCAGCAGGCCTGAACTCTCAGGCTGCAGCGGCGCAGGGACAGTGCAGCTCACGGGCTGCCTGGCACAGGAGCGTGGATCCATCTCACAGAATAATGTAATGTGATGGCCTCAGCCAGGGCCAGATCTTACGTTCTGTTTGCCAGAAGGGTCTTCTCCCCTCCGGTGCTCTGCTAGTCCTGCAAGAAGAGGCCGTGGTTCTCCAGTTGTCAAGGCGGAGGAGGTGCCCCCCGTGTGACCTGGGGGGGAGAATTTACTGGATGTGGACTGCCCTCCCCCAAACAGAAGGCAGCCCAACGTCTCCTCTTCCTTGCCCAACCCAGAAGGGGTGCCGCATGTGCTGGGGTGTGATCCCCGCTGCAAACCCAAATTAATCTCTTGCCCGAGTGATGCATTTGTGCCTTGTTGTGGAGGGGCTGGCCGTAACTGGTACTATAACATCTTGTGCCATGCTAAGGCAGGGACAGACACACGGGGGGGGCCCGGGGGGGGGGGGAGGTGCAGCTTTCTGTAAATTCTGCAAAAAGTGTGGCTTGTGTTTGATGTCACGTCTCAGTGTCAGTATTGCTCCATGCAGGAGCTTAAAGAAATTCCTGAGAAATTCACTTCAGAAGGACCATACTGAGGGGTTTGGGGAGAACCCTGGGTCATAGCTAGGGCCCTACCAAATTCAGTTCACTTGCGTCAGTTTCACAGTCGTGGGATTTTAAAGATTGTAAATGTCATAATTTCAGCTTTTAAGTCTACAAGTTCATGGTGTTGTAATTGTAGGAGTCCTGCTCCAAAGGAGTGTGTGGGGAGGGGAGTGGGGGGTTGCACGGTTATTGTAGAGTGTTGTGGTTCTACTGCCCATACTTTTATGCTGCTGCTGGTCAGGAGCCCATGCTGAAGCGCTTTTGTCCAACTGGTAGTGTTTCTGCGTGGCCTCTGCCAGCGTGTGACCGTACCGTACCAGCAGCAGAGCAGGCAGCTGGAGCCCCATCTCTAGCAGTGGGCCACACGTGGTACAGATGATGCACGTGGTCAGAGAGAGATTGGAACTGAGATTCAGACTGGCTAACGGCCCTTCCTTCCGCATAGGTAACCTGTGTATGGTGACTGGCGGTGCTAACTTGGGCCGTATCGGTGTGATCACGAACCGGGAGAGACACCCAGGCTCCTTCGACGTGGTCCATGTGAAGGACGCCAATGGCAACAGCTTTGCCACTAGGCTCTCAAACATTTTTGTTATTGGCAAAGTAAGTGGGAGCAGCTGGAACCGGGGGTGTCTCCCTCCCTTCCTCCCTCCCTTGAAGGGGCAGGCTCGCTGCAAGGGAGCCGGACGTGCTTTGGCGGGGGCAGCGAGCTCCTGTGCTGTGCCATGGAAACCTGCCTGCTCTTTACCACGCTGGCCAGAAGGGACCTGCTGGTGATCTAGCCCGTTCTCCAGTGCAGAGGGGTGTGGGGGGGAGGGGTACACCTGCAGGAACCACGCGGAGCCCTGTGGCACCTTAACACCTAACAGATCTATTTGGAGATACGTTTCCATGGGCACTGCCCACTGCCTCGGGTGCTTCCCTCCCCAGTGTCGCGCAGGCCAGAGACCTTCCCTGGGCCAATCCCCTGCCGGCTAGAGCACGTCTTGTAGAAAACATCACTTGAAAACCACCGCAGCCCTCGTAAATTGTTCCAGGGCTAGTTACTGTCCTAGGGCCTCCTCCTGAGAGATGAGCCTGTCACTCTGTACTGTGTGGCTGTCTGCTCAGTGGTGCTGGCGATAGGCCCTGCATATAGGGAAAGCCCCCATGATCCGATAATCTGCTGGGGATTGACCGGCGAGCTGGGACCAGGGAACGCGCTGGCCCAGCAGCTGACTGCGCCTCGCGTTTTGGGGTTAATTTGACTGATTTCTGTGATGGATTTCTTAGGCTAAGGGCTTGTCTAAACGAGGCTTTTAAACCAGGTCAGTTAAACTGGCACAGATCTCTGTGGCTGCTCGTGTTCTGCGTTGAAGCATTTATTTCAGTGTAACTTAAAATCTGCTCCCAATAGACGAAAGCTAAACTGAAGTGTGTCCATGCGGCCGCTTGCACCTGTGAATCCCATCGTCAACTCTTGTGTTAAACAAGCCCCTAGGAGCTACAGCCCAGGCCCGGAGTTCTCTTCTCAAAGGGAGATTCTCCTAGCCCTGGAGTGATCTGTCCCTACGCGTTGGTGGGGCGGGGGGGGGGGGGGGGGGAGCACTTTCCATGCTATTGAAGGTTGCTTTGTTGTGCCAGATTGTGATTCTCCCCTCTTGCTTTAGGGTAACAAGCCCTGGATCTCCCTGCCCCGCGGGAAGGGAATCCGTCTGACCATTGCCGAAGAGCGAGACAAGAGACTGGCAGCCAAGCAGAGCAGCAGCTAAACGCTCAGGAGGGGACTAACAGCAGACGGCCTTTTCCTTTGTCAAATAAAATTGTTACCACACGAGGCAGCCTTTTCCCTGCAGCCATGGCCAAAGGGGCAGTGCACTGCAGCTGGGCCAGTGAGAGGGCTTTGGTCTTGCTGGGCACCAGGTCACGTGGACGAGGCAGCAGCGGGACGGCCTGTCCCTTTTTAAAAACCCAATTCTGCCCTAAGTCACAGTGGCGCTTACTGTACTAGGCCCAGTGTGAGACCAGCAAACCTGGCAGCAAGTCTCCTTCCCCTTTATAAAAGTCCAGACAAGCCTTTGCCTTTGTATCCCCCCCACACCTTGCAGCGTGACTCCCACAGCCCTTTACCAGAGGCCTGCTGCCATCCCTGTGTAACCTAAGTCCTGTCCATTTCCTGCAGTACTCACGGGCTGCTGCACTTTGTAGTCCCAGCCCTTAATAGGGTCGGCAGCAGACTGGAACCAACCTTGATTCTGTCGCAGGCAGCGGATTTAGGACGCTGGTTCCGTTGGGTATCTAGAATGAACAGAGGTAATGGTGCCTCCTTTCAACCTGTGCTGCTGGTCAAAGGGCCCTGTGGCTGTTTGTGCTGGGGCCCTGGCAGGACAAGGGGACTGGGCAGTTGCTCAGTGGCAGGGCTAGAGGGGGGTGAGTGCCCTGCATGTGCCCTCAGCTGCTGAGAGCTTCCCCAAGGAGCAGGCTCCTCCCCCAGGCCAGGCCTGCCCTTTCCCCACCATCTGCTTCAGATGAAACCTTGTTGCAAAGAATGTACGAAGTCCCTGACGCCAGCAGAATGGAAGGTGCGGTCCCCTAGCTTACTGCTTCACGCACCTTTGGTCATCAGGCCCTCGAGTGCTAGTTTTCCCTGGGTCACACGACTCGGGCTCCTGCTTGGCTTTCTTGTTTTGCCTTCTGTCCTCTGTTCTATACCCCCTTCTACCCAACCTGGTTCTGAGGCCCCTGGAACCGCTGCTCACCTTGTGCTTGGTTTGGGGCAGGTTTTCTCTGGTCCTACATGTGGCTGCTTACATGTTTCTTGAAACTACCTTAGGAGAAGGGACATTGCACATCAATATGAAGGAGATTTTTACCAGGTTGTCATTTTGATTCTTAACTGCAGCTCAGATACACAGGCCAGGAGTTTTTCATCCTCTTCCTGTTCTTGGGGACTCTAGCTGCTCCCCACACAGTTTTCTACACCAAGGAATTTTTGTACAATGCTCACGTGGCCACCTCGCCCTGGGCACCTTTTTGACTTAGAGCACCTCCAGCAGCGTGTCCCCTGAAGTGACGCTTCAGAGCTGTTAGCCAAGCTGTGTGTTTAGCTCCACTTCGCGCTCTGCATGGGGCAACGGCTTAGAACGTGCCACATCGCCCTTCAACCTCCAAGGAACCAGGCCCTAGGGCCTTGCCTGCGCTGTGCTGCTGTCTCACGTTACGGCTACAGGGGCTTCCCATTCCTCTAGTAACCTCCCTGCAAGGCCGCTGGGAGCCGCCTGGTGTCCAGCAGTGAGGCAGGTAGCTGTGTCGACCTCCATTTTCAATGCTCCAAATGCGAATCCCAGCAGCACAACCCTCATTCCTCTTCCCCATCTTTTAATTCAGGGTTGGGGAAACTAAGGCCTGGGGGTCAGATATGGCCCCTGGCTTGCCTGGATTTGGCCTGAGTCTCAGGGTTCCCCCCCAGGCCCCATGATGATGTTCCAGCCCCCTCGCCAGCCACCCATGGAGTTGGAGCTCTCAGAATCTGCTAGCTGGGCCCCCATGGCTCTGGGAGTGAGGGGAACGTGGGGCTGTCCTCAGTCAGGGGCCAGGCGTCTCACTTGTGTGCAGCCCTCGACTGATTTTTCTGTGGGTCAGGACTCCCCCCTTCCCCCAGGTTCCTCCCCTCCGTTTGAAGTGGCGTTCGGGCAATGGGATCTACGGACCCATCAGCGACTGGAATGCCCGGCCTGCTCTGAGTCACCCGCCTCCCTCTGTAACAAACTCCCTGCCTGCCCCCAAGACAAAGCTGGGCTTGCCGCTGTAGGCGCTGGCAGCGCCGATCAGTCCCACGCAGAAGCGCCAAACAGCTCAGAAGCCTCCGGTCTCTGCTGGCGTTGGTGCTCCGCTCGCTGCCGGCGGCTTGGGGTGCTCCTGAGCCCCTGGGATGCCCCCCTGTCCCATGGCGCTGCCCGCTGGCCGGCTCCATCCCGCACCCCAGCGAGCCTGTGGCGGGGGGGGGGGGGGGGGGGGT